CTGGGAGAGCCCACAAGCATTGGCAGGCACTGTGAAGGGCTGGAGCTGAGTACAAGCAGTTACACATGTGTCTGCTACGTGCAGGGATGCACAGATGGCATATGAACACGTGTGGTGAAACGAGCTCCTTTATGTGACTTTTGCCTTAGTTTACTGGAAAAACAGCTCAAGAGAGCTCCCTCAAGTCTTCACCCTAGTTTCCCACCAGGGCTTTGAACCAGGTCATTGCTGTCTGATCCTCTGCTAAGAATTTGCATTTCCATCACAGGTAAGCTAATTCAGAATCTATACTTCAACCAGCTTCTGGAATGTATAGGTAAGAGTTACCTGGACAGAGCAGCGCTAAGTCTGACTTCACAGGGGTCAGTCATGGGCTGATCTTTATTCACATTCTCCTTGCCCTTAAAGTTAGATGGGTTCTGACAGGACTACCATTCCCAGGCCTGGCCCCTGTATAAGGCAGTCCTGTGCTGTAGGGACTCAGGCTCCCTGTGTCTGCTGAGGATGTCTGACCTTGAACCCAGAGTAGAAAACATCTGGGTTGGGCCTCTGGAGTAATCAGAGATCACCAGGCAACCTGGAGTGTGGGTTACTTCACTCAGGTGACTGGACCAGGATGCTTCCTACCTCTCCAAAGCATCAACGGGTGCTGATACTTCAGCCTCTATCTCTGGGGTGTCCCTTCCTCCCTGACTACAAATACTCATTCCTGCAACTCCCCTTCCAGCCCTAGTGCTTGCTACACACAGAGAGTTTGTGTACACCAGGCCTCCCCTCACTTGGGCAGAGCCAGACTGGCTCACTAGACTTGACTGGAAGGATTGGGAAGGGAAGTCAGGGTTACTCAGCACAATGTGTTTACTCTGCACAACATGATGTATGAAATGGGACTCCTGTTGCAAAGCCGACTCAATTCTCAAATACTCAGTGGAAAAACGGAGTCTGTGAGCTCATTCATGCTCAGGCCACATATAGTTAGATCAGATGCTCCAGCTGGCTCCATTCTCTGTAGGCTCTCCCCTGTGTGAGGGAGGCTGTGAGAGGTGGGAATGGGGTTCACAGTGACTGAGGGGAAGACGGGTGGTTCCTCAAAATCACTTGAACAAGTACTTTCACAAGAAAGATAGGTAGCTGTTGAGCAGGCCGTACCAAGGCCACCCCCTAGAAACCCCAACACTGCTTTATGTGCTTCCTTGGTGGGAAACGATGGAGACAAGCAGCGTGGGGCTTTTTATGAAAACTACAAGAGTTTCCACTGAGGTCCACAGGACTCTGAAGCTCATGTTCATTCTGTGTATAGCCAAGCTCCCTCCCCTCTTCTTAACGTTGTCGTGGGGTGTAGACTCCACCTTAGAATGCCCTTTGTGGGAAGGCACTGACCTTGATCAGATGTAAATGGGTATAGGGAAAATGGGACATTAACACTGGTCTCTAGTATCTCATACCCTCACTCACTCACCAGTGTGCTAGTCCTAAGACATCACCCCCGGGCCTCAGAGCTGCAGAGAAGGTAAGGGGACTCCAGACCCTCCTATCTGCTGACCTGAGAAATCACAGGCAGAGCTGCCCCACCCCACACTGAGTGGAAGCCACCTGAGGTGGGTGGGTGTCCTGGAGAGCTGGGCAGTGCAGAAGCAAAGCAGGGACCTGCAGGGAGAAGGTACGGAACCAGAGGGGAGATGGGGACCTGAGGCAGGAGTGGCTGGGCCTTCAACATGGCCTAAACTGAGGGTGAGATTCTGTTATCAAGACCAAGGGAAAAGTTTATAAAGCTCTAGCAAGAGGCTGTAAAAGATGCCTAGATTTAGGAAAATGAGGAGGGACCCAGAGATAGAGGCCTGTTGCAAAGAGACCTGATCAGACAGGAACTGAGACTCCATTCTGATCCATTCCCAAAGCAGATGGTGGTCTCGCTGAGCTCAAGGCCAGTGAGTTTTCCCTCCCCTCAGCTTGACTGCAATCTTAAATGAGCCGAGCTGCAGCAGCTACCAAGGAACCACAGGCAGAAAGGAGGTAAACAGAACCTTCAGAGGTGTTTGCACAAGAGCTGGCTGGGGCTAGCTCCCTCCCTCTGGTTGTGATGGGGGACTCTGAGAGGCAGTGGAGCTCAAGCTAGCCTGACAGAGGAGTAAGCAAACACATCTTCACAGAAGCAAACAGAGGTGTCCTGGTCCCGCAGACTTGTGTGTGAGACCACTCTGAGTCACCTGCCTGTTAGATGACCCGCTAAGCTGGCCCTGGCCATAAGTACCACTCAACAAATCATTTTTGGGGGAGAAAAAGGAGGATTTCTCAAACAGAAGTTTCGGGGATGTTGTGACTCAGAAGAAGCTGTGACAAAGCTTATGCCTGTGTCCAGGCCACATGCTCCTGTCCTATCCCCAGGACTCCCAGGCTGAATTGTGGGTAGGCAAGCTGCACGTATGAGAGTTACTCCTTCCAACAAGGTTCAGCCAAAGGCTGCCAAGGAGGTGTCAGATGGGCCTAGACTGTTCCGGAGGACAGAAGTCACTAAGCAAGGCTGGGTGGGCATGGTCTAAACAGCCTGGGTTCCTGCAGACCAGGGAGGGTGACTACTGCCAGCCCCAGCTACTCACCTCTGCACATCTTCTGTCTCCCTGTGCAATTCTGCTTAGATATAGTGGGAGCCTCACCTCTAACTCCTGCCACTCTTCTACAGTGCTGGGCGTAGCCATGTCACCTCTGCTCAGGGACTCTTTCTAAGGTCAAGGGCTGGAAGGCCATTGTTTAGACTCCAACTAGATTGAGTACAGTCCAATCTGAGTTATCACCTGTCCCTGGCAGGTGGTGATTCCCAGCTGTTCCAGCCAGACATATGGGCATCTTCCTGACCCTTTCTTCACCTGACCACATGCAGGGTCCTGCCACCCTAACTCTCATGTCTCTCTAGCTTCACATACCAGACATGTGAACTCAGACTCTGCAGTTCTGGTGTCCAGTGTGGCCTCACCCGAACCCAGCTTCCACTCGGGAGACTAAGCAGGACTGCTAAAGGACTTGACGGAGTTGCTCCTCAGTTAAAACTTTTGGCTGTTCTAGCAGGAACCCTGCGTCTTTGGTTGGCAACCAGGCCCTCTTCTTGAGTCCCTGTCACCTCAGCTCCTCTATCCACCCCCAGCTGTTTGTTCAGGGCACGGGGTAGGGTTCTGGCCTCTCTGGAACTGCCCTGCCACCCCTGCCTGCCCAGCAAGTCTCATTTCAGCTTTTGCACCTGAGCTCAGATGCAATGGAGGCCTACTTGTTCTCCTTGCCCATCCCTGGAGAGAATTCATTTCCCCTCATGTCGAATCAACCCTGCTATGTTTTTTTTTTTTGTTCTGCAGTTTCCCAGGCAAGCTGGGCACTCCAGGGCAGTAGTCCCACCTCCCTCCCCTGTAGTGGCTCACCACTGTCCTTCAGGGACAGCAGCTATCGCTGCCAGCTGAGAGAATGACTGAAAACAGAGAGGTCTGCTTTATTTGCTTCATACAGTAGCTCACATCTGTTCTTCAGCCCACAGGCAGGGCTGGGTGAGACAGCAGTGGCCCCAGGCTATGACGTGTACTTGGTCCCTTCTTCAGGACGCAGTCACCGCCAGGCTGGGATGGACATCTGCTCCTCATCCCTGCAAAGGAGAGCAGGTCAGAGTTCAGGCGCGGTCTCTGTCTCAGATCCAATGCTGCTGCCAAGTGCTATGCTATCAGGGCTCCCTGCTAATCGCTCCCTTACAGCAAGGAAGTGCAAATGTTTACACATTAACCTCCATCCTCACCAGCAGGGGTCCTTGATACCTAGGGGTGTCTCTTCACCTCTGAGATGGAGAGTAGCCCCTGGAGTAATGTGTCATTGGGTGGCAATAGCTAACATGAAACACTCTATTCACCACCTCTCTCCGGGCCTGGCTGAGGAGACAAGGGGAGGTATAGCCAACCAACCCAGCCTGCCTGCTCCTGACATGCACTGTGGAGCTCCCTCTGCTCAGTCTCCAGTACCTCACCTCCAGCTCCACCCCCATCTGCGCTCAGCGGCTCTCTGTGGGAGTCATGCAGACCAGGCAGAGGAGCATTTGCTTTGTGGTGCACAAGTGCAGCCAAGCGCCTGGGTGCCTGGGCCCTGCAAAGCTGAGATCCAGTCACCAGGAGGCTACCTGCATTTGTGTACAGACGTGTCTCTGGGTGCTCAGAGCTCTCAGAGGGGAGTGGAAAGCCAACTCTGAGAGACTCTCAGTGGAGTGGTGCTGCCTCTGAAGACACAGCCTCAGCCCATTGGCCAGAGGGGTCTCCATCCTAGTCACAGAACTCCTGCTTCTGTTGTTGCTGGTACGTGTCCCTGTAAACTCTGACTCCTAGTGACCCTACGTCCAACAGATGGGCATCTTGCCTTACTCTGCACCTCCCTGCAATTCGCGCTGTGTTGAAGCTCACTGTTGTAGTTAGAGTGTCACTCCATCTCACAGAAGGTCTTCCCCTGCTTTGAGGACCTTCTGCCTTTCCAAACAGGATGTCCTTTTCTCCTGACAGCATGCCCAAAAGACATGAGATGAAGTCTCACCGTCCTTACTTCTGAAGAGCTCTCTGGCTGCGCGTCTTCTAAGATAGATTTGTTTGTTCTTTTGGCAGTCTGCGGGGTAGTCAATATTCCTCGCCAATACCTCAATTCAAAGGCATCAGACTTTCTTCACACTTCCTTATTCATTGTCCAATTTTCACATGCATACGAAGCAACTGGAACCCCTGGATCCTTTAATCTCCCGTTCCCAGCTTTCAGCAGGAGCTTTCTGGGACAGAGCCAGGGTGAGGCAGTGGGAGTGCCCCCTTCCTACCCTTGTTTGTTGTGTGGTGCACATGGGGTACCATCCCCCCATGAGCTACATACTCTCCCCAGACACTTTGGACAGAGCATAGTGGGGAGCTCTGCTGGTCTCTGCTGCCGGCTGGTTCATAACATCAGAGATTGGGGACTGGAATGAGGAGTGGCCTGGCAGTGGCCCGGAGTCTCACTCAGGCGTGCTGGACTTGTTTAATGCAGTGTCTTCCCCCATAGTCATATATTGCCTGGATGCAAGGAAGATGTATTGGTAAAGTGGTTTAGTTACAGTTCTACTCTGTGGGGATGGGCTGCTGGTGGGCTGACAACTGCTGTGCATGTGCAGGCCTTCAGGTGAGGGTGGCAAGGCAGGTGGTGATAGGGACACCAGGCTTCCTCCAGTCAGCAAGGGGCCTGCTGAACCTGGGAAATGGACTCACTGGTGTAGCCATGGAGGGAAGGGACTGTGGGACTTGGCTGACATGCAGTGTCTTACTTAGTGCTTTCATGACAGAAATACCACAGAGGGTGACTTTAACACAGAGGAGCTATCTTCTTACAGTTTAGGGGTTCAGGTCCAGGTGCTGGCTCTGGGAGGTGACCTTCTGTCCAGTGGCTCTGGAGGAAGGTCCACTTCTTGTCAGCTTCTGCTTTCTCTTCCTGGGCAATCTCCATGTGTCCTGGCATGGATTTTTTTTTCTTGTTGTATACTGTTGAATCAGATCTTACTGGTACAGGAGGAGACTGTCCCTCTTTCTCCAGCGGAGCATTTGGTGGATTTGAACTGTGTGTCTTCGGGACTTGGCATGGATCTTAGCTCAGAGCTTTCTCCATTCATTTGTTTGAGATCTTTTGTATTTCAAGATGTCTCTTTTGTGTTTCAACATATTTACTCACGAGACACCCTACACCAAGCTTGTCTTATTAACATAACAAAGACAACATATACTCTAAGGTGTTATAACCACAGGCTTGAGTGTCAGGTGCCTTCAAGGCCACCATGTCTCACAATTACTCCAGAGACAACAGATATGAACCCTGCTCTATCCTGCATCATCCTCACTATTCAAGTGGTGACTCAGAAGAGAAAGGCAGAGGAGCTGGACTTCCGAGCCTCCCGGTGCCCCCAGGTCTCCCCAGCAGGGCGGCTAAGCCTTACCTTGTGGGCTGCACTGACACAGCGCTGGTAAGCCCTGACCAGGTCAGAGCACAGCAGCACCTCCTGCAGGTTCTCACGGTAGCAGCGGAGGATCTGAGCCTGCAGCCCTGCACACACCGGCTCTGTAGGGCGGGGCCTGCAGACAGACAAACAGCCTTGAGGATAAGGTCTAGGCTGGCTGGCCACCATCATGGCCGTGACCAGCCAATCCCAGGCTTTGCACGTGAAGTCTGAGTGTCCTTGAGAGAAAAACCTGTGCACTCAGTAAGACATTTGCTAAGCATGACAAGTCCCAGGGGCTGGACAGGACATGTTCTAGATAAGACAAGATGGAGATGCCTAGTTGTCCGGCTTCTGTGCTACAGTTACAGGCAGGAACCCCATCCATCATGCAGAGACTCTGCCCACCTGGGTGAAGGCTACCCGCCCTGTGCTGCCTGCCCGGGCCTCGGCTCACCCAATGCTTTTCAAAAATTTCCTGAGCAAGTTGTTTATGTGTATTTGTGACCACACTGTTTATACATGAGAGTATTTATCATCCAACACATTCTCCCCTACTTTATCTTTTTCAAAGTATTTTAAGAATCCACCAAAAAAAATGAATATTTTTTTAAAAAAAGATGAAACAAGCAACAAAAAAATATGAAATACTTACTGAGTATATCTTGTGCCAACCTAAATTGTAGCCTTTTGACTTCCCTAATAAATACCATAATGTAGAAAAACTATGAACTATTTATTACAGCTTCAATTAAAACCAGTCACCTGGTCACCTTGAGGTAATCTCTAATTGGTTTGTCTTCTACAGGACACTTCTTCCTCTTTTTCCTTTCCTGCCCTACTCACAAACACCACTGTCAACAAACATACAATTATTTAAACACACAGACTCTCTGTTTTTCTCTCTCCCATATACACACACATGCGCACACAGAGAGCAGTTCACACTACATTCGCTCTCAGTCCTCACACTCACTCATCTGCTCAGGACAGCTGGATGTTGCAGATGCTGTTATTTATGATCCACTTTGTACAAAGGAAGAGGCCCTGAATGGCATGAATGGCTACATGCTTAATAGAAGGTTGGTGGTTTGAATCCACCCAGAGGTGTTTGGGGAGAAAGCACTGGCAGCCTACTTCAGGAAGGTCATAACTTTGCAAAACCTAGGGGGCAAAATTCTACTCTGAAACACTTGGGGTGATCACGTGTTGGAATTGACTTGTTAGTGACTGATTTGGTTTTAGTTTCAGCTGTACATGGAGAAAACCGAACTACACACAAGTGGGTGAAGCAACTGGTCCCGGGTTGCAAGGCTAGTAAATGGTTGAGCTGAGAGACACCATTTACACAGTTTTGATCACATAGTTTTTACTGATAGTCGCCTCAGCGTTTAAGCCAAGTTAATACACGACCTTGACCTATCACACCATAGGCTGTTGACAGAACCACCTGGGTATTTGTCACTAGTCTTTCAAATCAGGAAACACTCAGGGATTAGAGTATCATGCGAGACATATTCAATCATTCATTCCTCAAGTTCTCAGCAATGATGAGCATGACTAGTCTCTGTGCAGCTTCGCTAGAGTTAAATGGACAGAAAGATCTGGATTTAAACTGAACTCTGTCTTTTTCAGGGTGTGGAGTAGGGATACTCATGGTTTAATACTTCTCTCAAGCCAGTATTTAAAAAAAAAACCAAAACATTTTAGCCATGCATCATTTACAGGGACACATTAGGACAGACAAGGACCAGGCACACAAAGCCCATCAGGTAAGAGCATCAGGCCATGGAAAACTCAATGGTGAATGAATTAAAATCACTTAGAGGTCTGAAGGGGAGGGAGCTCTGGTGGCCTAGTGGCAAGAAGCTGCATTGCAATCCCAGAGGTACACATTTCGAATCCACCAGATGCCCTGCTGGAGAAGGAGGGTCAATCTCCTCCTGTACCAGTCAGATCAGATTTGACAGTACACACACACAAAAGTAATAAAAAAAAAATTTAAAAAAGAAGTCTGCGGCGGGCTACCTGCAGCACGGCTGTGCCTCTTCATCGATGCCTCCCAGGGCCCAGGCTACTTCTGTCTTTCTCCTGCAGCATCTGTGTTGGTTTCTCATTCTCAGGCCTACTGTCCAGCTTTTGCAAGATGGCCACACATGGAGGCTTCAAACACAACCCCTCATGCCTTGGGTGTGCAAGGACTCAAGAAGGAGTAGGTCTTTACGCTATCACAGATTATGAGGCAGAAAATCCTTCCTGAAAACCTCATTCTCAAAAAAAAAGCCATCTCTCTTCTCATTGGGCAGACTCTCTCTTAATCAGTAACAACCAAAAGCTCGTTGCTGTTGAGCTGGAACAAACTCATAGCTGAACCCTCCAGTTATGAGAGGAAACAGCACTGAGTAGAGATTTCCCCTTTTTCCTCTGTGGAGCCACTGGTGGATTTGAACCTGCAGCTCGTGGGTGAGCAGAGCTCCCTATGGATTATGCCATCAGTGCTCTCCTAAACCTCAAATCCTTAAATAAACTTGCTGTTTTATAGGGTAAAGAAGAGGGCAGAGCATGCCCGAGCTCTCTGATATTCCAGTGACAGATTGAGAGCCTTTGGGTAAAGGATGTGGTAGGAGAAATAGGTGCTCCCTCTTAGAAAGCAGATAAGCAGAAGGAAGGTGCTGAGGGAGGCTGCCTCATAGGCTTGGCTTTGCCCTTGACAGCATGTGACCCTTGACTGGCTCTTGAGGATGGCAACGTCCATGTCCTTTCACAAGATAAAAATTCTGATTGCATTCTATGTTGTATTATTGTTACATACTGATGGGTTGGAACTGACTCACAGCTCACCCTCAGAGGCAGTGTTCACAGGCAGGAAACTGCACGAGAGGAGACTGGCTATCCTTCTCCCACCGAACAGCCAGGAGACAAGAACCAGGTGCCCTTGGGTTGGCAGTGTGACTCCTTATCACTCAGCCATTAGCGCTCCACACTATAATGGAAGTACTACTTTTCTCAAGAGATTCTTGAGGATACAAGGGTGGCATTTTATTAGCATTACTTATTAGAGGATGCCTCTTACCTTCAGATAAAAAACACAGATTGCTTCCTTAGATTCAACCTGTTCTTCTCAAGAATCAGGAGATTTTTCTTCACCGAACCGTATTTTTAAAACAGAAAGTCATCTGAGGTGTAAGTGGAATAGATTGGGGGTAGACTGATACCCAGATTTTCACCCTAAATATGTACAGAATGACTATATTAAAAAACTTTCTGACATGGATAGATCTAATCGTGGGTCTTTTAAAATGGATTTTCCTTGGAGGACAGCCAGGCTTTTTGATCACCACTGCATTTCAAGCAAGCTCTTACTATTAGGCTTCTTGTGTCTATTCCTACTTTTGTTAATATTTTTAAAACAACTTTAAGTTGGATCTTTATTCTTGGCCTTTATTTGAACTCTTTTCCATGTTAGTTTTAATCTCTGGCTGCTTTGGAAAGGTAGGTGAGGTTTTCCTTCCACACTTTCAGCACAGGTCAACTCTTTAAGGCCCTCTGGTGGTTTCTGTGACACTAATCTCCTGGTCATCCTTCTCAGCACACTGCTCCTCCATCTTCTCCACCCCTGACCTTTCATGTCTGTTCTTTCTACACCATGCTGACCTCCTGGATGACATGTTCCCTCCAACAGAAACTCCATGGTATACTTTTGTCAGCACTGACTTCAAGCAAAATCTCCCCTACCTTGGTGTGACAACCTCCATGGAAAGCTGGCCCATGGCTGTGTCCCAGGGGCCAGTGGGTACTCGATAAATCCTTGCTATTGGAATGAAGAGTTCAGGGGAATTCAAGGTTTTAGTCAAGACAGAATTCTTCTACTCTGAGCTATAAGTCTGAGTAGGGGTTCACTGATCTAAGCAGAAAAGCAGGATCCTAGGATGAAATCAGCAAAGCCCAAGAAGCTTGGGTTTGGGTCCCTGCCAACCACATAATTTTGGAGCAAGAAACCTGACCTCTCTGACCTTCAGGCTCTTTAGCCATACAACAGAGTCAGACACTTATTTTGTCAGGTTGTAAATGCTCAGCATGGAGCTCTGGTGGCCTAGCGGTAAGAAGGTGCGCTACAATCACGAAGTACTATGGTTCAAATCCACCAGCTGCTCTGTGGGAGAAAGATGGACAATATCCTCCCACGTGATTAACTGTCTCTGAAAACCCACTGGAGCATCAGTTATGGGTTGGTTCTGGCTCAACAGTGCTCAGCAACAACAAACAAACAGCAGTAATGCTTGAGAACTTGTTCCTTTTCTTGTAGCCAAACAAAACTTAGTCCCCTCTCCATGTGTTCTCCTCCTTCACAGGCCCCTGTGAATTTTAGGGCAAGCCTCACACAGTATTCGATGGACTCCAAATTCAGAAGAAACTGGGACATGGGTGAAATTGATCCCCTTCACAGCAGTATCACTCCCGGGACTAGACAAGGCCTCTTTCCTCTGGGATTGATTAGGAACAATATGAGGAGACAGAATGCTAACTGGAAGAAATCTCATCCATCTTGTCTACAGGAAGGCTCTGAACAGGCAAAGATAGGGAGTGTGTGGCCCTCCAAACAGTACATTCTATCCAAACACACCCAGACCCCGCCCAGTCTACTGCCATTCTGTTTTACAACACATACAGAACAACTTGAAGTTTTTAGAAACATCCAGTCTTGTGAACAGTTGCTCTTCAAACAGACAAATAAATGTATTCACAGTGTGCTCTGAACTTTGCAGGATCACAGAAATAAGTCCTGTTCTCTCTGGGTGCGATTCCCTGGGACAAACATACCCTTTGTGGGTTAAGATCTAGTGGTCCATGTGGCTTTGAAGGGTCAACATCACATGAGACCACGTGAGGGTTTCTCTTAGGACTTGTCAGCAACACTGAGGAAGCTGTTTTGCTTCAGTGGTCCTCCTCTTCTTTATCTGTACAATAAGAATTATAATATTACCTGGATAGTGAGAATGATATTATAGAAAATTGCATTTTATCCACTTTATCCACTCTCCTTTGACAGAGGTTTGTGGGAAAATGAGGTGAGAGGGGCCTGAGAGAAGGTGTGCTCTAGGGAGTCTGGAGCTATTGTCAGCACCACCAGCCCGC